CCCAATACGTTGAGTTCAGGTAGCGTAAAAATTTTCCGCTGGAAAAAATGGCGGAAAGTTGCCAACTGTTGGGCTGAGCGTAACTACTCAACTGTGCGTTTCTAAGACAAACAGCCAACCCAACCCAACAGCTACGACTTATGAACGCGCCCAATAATACAAGGTTCGATAAACTGACAGTTGTCTCTCTCGCACCGCTCCCTTAGCAGTGGCACTGTGTTGCGTCTTTGCAAACTTACTTGGAAAAAGTTTAGATTTGATGTGAAATAGAAGTATAAGGTTTCAAACAGAGTGGAAGCGAAGCCGAAGACGAAGATGAAGACGAAGCCGGAGACGAAAAACAGTGCAGTACTAAACATATGAAAGTGATCACAGTGCAAGCAAAGACGAAGACGAAGATGAAGACGTTGCGCAAGCGGTCAGCTTAAAATAGTGCGGTACTGTTTTCAAAGACGAATCGCTTGCTGTGATGAGTTTTTTACAATTTATTTAACTGTTTGCTATTGTGAAAAAACGCGTTTTTCAATAAATTGGCTAAATTTTTGGCAAAATGTAATCAAACGTATTAATTGGCATTCTTGTACATTCGAAAAATGTCTATCCGTCTTGTCGTAACACATAATACAATTGGCGAAATTCTCCAAAAGTTGTCCTATACAAATTATTTCATGAATTTCTGTTTTTTCTTTATTTTTTTTGATTTTATCTAAAAAAAAAGGGTTTTATTTAGAAACAAATCTTCATATCATTCATCTTCCACTATGTACACTCGCCAGCTTGCCCGCAACGCAAGCAATTCGTCTTTGGTTTCGTCTTCGGCTTCGCTTCCACTCTGTTTGCAACCTAAATTTGTGCAATATGTTTATTTGTATATACATATGAAGCACATTTAACTGATGAAAACATAAACTTTTTTTATATTGGATGTTTACATAAAACTCGCAGTAGTGTTATATTAATTTTGAGCCCTTTTGCAGTTTTTATACAGCTAAATAGCATACAAATTACGTAATTAACGTAGATATTGTAATATTACGTTCAATATTTCGTTTGAAATGCCAGATTTCCTGCAAATACATTAGAATTTATAAAAGGAATTTCACTACTAATTGCCTACTTTGCGTACTTTTCTACTGCCATTTACGCAACAATGGATTTCATTCTTCGTCTTTCTCCGTCCTTCGTAAATGCAACCTTTTGTAAGGGAGTGTCAAACCGCGGCTGTCAATAATTATCTAACCTTGTATTATTGAATCATGCTGAGAGCTAAACCAAGGCACATAAATACAGGTAGAAGCCAAAATGACGATGCTCTCATTAGAACCAAACCTTTAAACTTCAACTTGATTTTATTTTATTTCCTATATTTCGTTACGCTTTGAATCTCATATCGTTGTTTCTTTTTGAATGTTCGTTAATAACAAATTTTAATTTGCATTTGAATTTTTGTAGTGTTGTGCGGTTTATACTTAGTGTATGTGCTAAAAATGCAACACCTGAAGCGTTGTGTTTTATGTGGTGTTAAATATAAGGCAGATACCACTAATTTTTTAACGTGCCTCAATGTCCTTCGCGTAAGGAACGTTGCGAAAGCAGCTGTGGGCAGAGCTGCAGTGAAATGCCTTGCTGTGCGTTAAACATTTTAAAGAAGTATATTCCACAAATACACCGGGAGGTACAGGAAAGGCACGTTTGAAGCCAAGTGCTGTTCCTATGACCCTTATGCCGAAAAGTCCCTCCAACAACACGGCAACTCATAAAACAAAAACAGAAAACAACATACACGTTTTATCAAATTTTAACTAAAGAAAATAAATAAATAAGAATAAACTTCAAATATACTTAAAAACGTCAACCAGTGAAATGTATTTTTTTATTTTTCCTTACACACGCTCATTTTTATTTTTACTCTCCCGAAAACTTTGACTTTTGTAGGTTTGACGTCAAATTGGCTTCTACCTGTTTTATTGTACCATGAGCTAAACTGCTTATACGGGCCAAGAATAAGCGCAAAACGTAATCCAAAATATTTGTTAGGAGGTGAGAAATATTTTTAGCCCTGTGCTTTGGAATGCACGCTATTTTGGTTTGAGGAAACGCTTTATAATTATGCGCAAATAGATGATCGGTGCATATAATTGGTAGGTAAAGGGTAACCATGCATGTATGAATGTATATATGCCTGTATATACGTATGTTTGCACGTTTATACATTTAGGCGCTTAGTGGATAAGCTGACCTTTTACCATTTACATGCTTTTATTTAACTTGGTCATCCCGCTGAAATTTCCGATCGATTTTAAACTAACTTCCCGTCAAGGTAGAGACTTGAAATTTTCAGCATAGTTCCAATATTGATGACAATCCAATTTAAACTATAAATGAATTCCCTAGATGGTCCAGGGATCTTAATACAAAGTCGGTCAAAACATAGTAAAATGTATGGCTAACAGAGCGTAATTTGCAAAGAACGTAAAAACGCTATACATTTTTTAAAGCTGCCGGCGGTAGTAAATAATAAGTATAGTTTCAGGCGCTAGTAAGAGAAATACCTGTATTAGCTTCAACAGTGTTTAACATTGCCAAACTGTTAAGTTTTAGGCACTTCTGCAAATAATTACATTACATATGTATTTGGTTTCCTCACACATGGAGTTATATGCTTTTTCCACCGAGCCTTAAATGCATTCTACGCTTAAATGCAGTTAACATCGCATTTAAATGCGCAAATTCTAATAGTTTTTTGTGTTGAAGTGCGTAAACTCACTTTCAAAAGGGAGTTAACCCAGTTTCTGCCGACTTAACAGAAAATGTTATGTTAACAGCTTCAGCCATTCTGACAAATGTAAACACTTTGAGAAGTTGGCTGCAGTTGCTGCCAGAGTCGTAGGTATTCGAACAAAAGAAGGGACAGGGGTTTCAGTTTGCATTGTGGAATTTTTGTGAAGGAAAATACTTCCTCCCATTATTTTTAACAGAAAAATATATATTGTGCAATAAACGAATATAATAATTATATTATGTATCTTGAAACAATGATTTCGAGACAATCAAAATATAATTACGAAACTGGCATAAGTATAGTAAAGCGGCATATGGTAAAAAAAAGTGGGTTTTCTACTATGTTTAATGATGTAAATTTTTTTTGGTGCAAATTAATAGGGCGGTGGTAAGGGGGTAAATGTGGAATTTTCAATAATATCAAAAGCTGTTATTTCGAAAACTGTTAAACCGATTTTCAAACTATGGATACTGGATAATATATATGTACATATGTACATAATAATAATAATAATAATAATAATAGATTGGCGCTTACACATATGTTAGTGTTTGGTCGAGCTTCTCCTCCGATTTGTGGCGTGCGCCTTGATGTTGTTACACAAAGCGGAGGGACCTACAGTTTTACGCCAACTCCGAACGGCGTTTGTATTTTTTTAAGAAGCTGTTTTTCATGGTAGAAATACACTCGGAGGTTTGCCATTGCCTGCCGAGGGACGACCGCTGTTACGAAAAAACCTTTTTCTATATTTTTTGGGATGTTGCTTTGACCAAGGCTTGAACCCAGGTGCTGATGAGTGAAAGCGCGTACTGCTTACCACTACACCACAGCGGCCGACATATGACATGTGTACATATTTCGAGATAAACTTAAAAAAAAAAGAAATTATGGCAATTTTTTAATAAAAATGATTTTTTTCTTAAAAAGATACGTAATTAACTATATTAAGAGATATGTTTATCAGAAAGAGTATAAAAATACCTTTAATTTGATATATAACAGCGAAATAAAAGAACTGCACTAATTCTTGCCTGCAGAAAGAAGTTCCGCCCCTCTTCTCCGGCAAGACAGAATGGAGAATTCTGCATAGTAAGGGTTATAATCCTTACGCAAAAAAATTGTTTACAACAAGTCATATATTAAATTACAGACACTTTTATGCTCTTAATAAACGTATTTTTGCATATAGTTAATAACGTATTTTTTAGAGAAAATCATAAATATTTATTAAAAAATTGCCATTATTTATTTATTTTAGTTTATCTTATGTATTACCTTTCAATGATACCGACACTTCGAAAATCGGCTCAATAATTTTCGCAATATAAGCTTTTGAAAATATTGAAAATTGCACTTTTACCGCCTTCTATCACAGCCCCTATTGATTTGCATAAAAAAGGGTTACACCGTTAAAATCAGTGGTAAGAGGCGGACCACGCCCACATTTAGCTCACCTGCCGCTATACTGCACTTGTTCCACGAAACTTGCAGTGAACCCCTTTAACAAAAAACACACACATAGCTCTGGCAGCCATCAGCTGTTCGCACAAAATAAACAAAAAACAAATTAATTGAAAATGGACGGAAAACGACGAAAGTGGAGTCAGGTTGAGGAGCTGAGGCTGGGAAGGTAGAGCGTAGGAGTTAAGAGGATGCCGGAAAAATACACACGTATACAAGGAAATGGCAGCAGAATTAACATCAATTGGAATTACTGTCTCTGTCCAAGAAGTAAAATTCAAAATGCAGAATATGATTTCCAAATACAAGTAAGTTGATTTAATGTGTATATAATTCATCAACCTTTAATCTCTGGCGGTTTTCTTATATGTGTGTAGAAAAGTGAAATGTGACCTTCCAGAGCTTCGCCGCCAGCATGGCCGCTATTTGAAAAGCTCCACAAAATAATTTGCGGTCGTTGTGGAGGATAGCCTGAATGGTATATTTTATTGAGCATATTAAAAAGGAATTTCAAATTTTAAAAAGTGTTTTTATTTATAATTAAGTGGACTGCAATAAATATAGAAAGAATTAGTGGATAATGATAAACAAACAAACTGAGAGCATATCCGCAATGTCTGAAACTAGCCAGCAATTGGCAGCAAAGATTATTGAATTTTTAAATAAAAAATAATTACATATCATTTAGATGGGGCGATTTTGTAAGCGATTCAATATAGCATGAAAAGTTGAAAGCGATTTTATCTCTTTCTAGAAAATTGAAACTCAATATACACAAGCGATTTTATTGAATGCGAGGTTAAGTCGCATAGAGAATCGCCTCATCTAAATGCTGCTTTACTTTTCAACAAAGTGTTCACTTAAAGCGTTTCGATAAGTGTCTCGCGGGTTCAATCTCGTCTCATTCTGTTGTACTATTCTACTTGGCTCTTCAGTGCTAACGGTGTCAGAAAGCCAACTATGGTTTGCTGCAATTAAAAAATTGTGGAGTACGCAGCAGGCTTTTATGATGGCATTTGTTTTGTCGATACGGTTATCCAACCCCTTTCCGATGCGTCGGAATCTGCATTTCAAATGACCAAATGCATTTTTAACAACCCTTCGGCAATGAGAAAGGCGGAAGTTGAATTCGCGTTGAGCACCTGTACTTACCAAACTAACCGCAGAACTCCACAGGCAAACACCGATGGCCTACCAACTGTCATTTTGACGAGCAAGTTTTTGTGTGTGGGCACTTTGATGTCTTGAAATAAGCATTTGCCGCATGACGCCACCAGACAACATTCTCTCAATTTCGGTGTTTAAAAACATTTAAATCTTTAAAGAACTTGCTGAATAATTTCCTAAAACGTAATCATAAATAATCCAATAAGGAACAGACTTTTATTTTGATTTAATATAAAAATTTCATCGATGTTACCACCAGCACGCTTTCTTTCAAATGAAAATATGGCTGTCAAACTATTGAATTGCCGGAAATAGATGTCAAGCAATAAGCGCTGACATATATTGCAGCACATGAGAAATAGGCGGTCTCCATTGGAAATATATTTTGTGACATAGTTTTCACTACAGGAAAACACCCTGTGGAGACAGGGCCTAAATGGATATGGCTTAAAGACGTTGCGCGATAAACGGAAAGCTGAGCCTGCTATAATGACTACTGGGACCTCTACATTATTAAAAGATTTGCGGAGATCATAGAGCAATTTGCAACGTGACAGTTCTGCTTTTAATGAGGAAGATTCATAGATTCCAGAGTCATTACATCTCCCTCGACTTCCAACATTTATTTAAGAAAGCGATACCTTAAAAATTAAGCCCATTTTGCGTAATTTTTTTTGACTGATTTAAAGACGCACAAACCTTGTTAACCAGTTAACGGAAAAAAAACTTAAATGCACAGGTTTCAAGACATCCCAAACAGCAACACAAAATTCTTTAACAATTCAGCATACGCTGGAATTGGACACGCCAAATAAATTTCCAATGCTTCGATACTCTGCAGAAGAACCAAGTGCATATAGTGCAATAGCGACACGCTTTTCAATAAGAATAGCTTTCCGATAATTCGTATCCGCCTTTTCTAAACGTTTTACCATACCACAGAGTTCAAAGAAACTGCGCCTTTCCAAACGAAAACTATTCTTCAACGCAATTGGACTACAAATTTGACACTCTTTTTCCTAGAATAAGCTTGTGCGTTCCTATCAAAAAATATTGGAAATATAAAGTTAATTTAATTAATTAAGTAGCTATACTGACCTTTTTCCAAACAACTGGACTATTCCTTTGGACTTTGTATTCTTTTAAAAAGGAGAGTACAACACGTGCCATGTCCAAAACAGCTCCAAATATGCGTAAGATCACTTGACCTTCGGTAGCGCTTGCCCTCATAGCAATAATCTGGTTTTGCAAGTCATAATATTGTACAACCAGGAAAATAAAATTAATTCGCTCTAATGGATTCATTATTTCTATCATTATTAAATAATTTAAAAATGTTACAAACTTTTCCAATTTCAAATGTAAACAAAAGTCAGCTGTTCGAGTTAACTCACTTTCAGTGGAAGCGTTTGACATTTATAAAACTTTACATACGTGGGCGTCGCTACGTAGGGGCAGGGGGAGTTAACATGTAGGTATACAATCTTCGATTAAATGCAGTTGCCAATATAGCAACTCAGTTGCCTAAGTCGGCTCAGCTCGATGTTCTGGTCACATACATAAGTACACATTTTCATGAGTCTATCTCTTCTTATTCTGGTACTTACAAATATCGGGCCAAAGTTATAATACCATTTCATGCTCATGAAAGGTATAGTTTTCAGATTTCAAATCGGTGAAGTAGGTAACAAAATATACATTTAAAAATTTTCTTAACTCCTTCCCAGCGTATCTATTAAGATGTCATTTTCAAAAATTTCATGCATTGCTATGCCATGTCATTCCATATCAAACATACTAGGGCTATTCGCGATCCGGTGCAAATGGCCTAGCATCATTGCATTGCAAATTTGTATTGCAAATTATTTGCAATACACAAACAAAATACACGCATTTGCATTTGTCATGGCTTGACAAATTTGCAATACCGAAAATCCATAGCATAAAAATGCTATGCATTGCAACTCTGGTTGACATTTCTATCAGCTGATTAAATTCATAAACAAAACCAAAGCTGATGCACAATAAGGGTGGGTAACTCAGCAAATTTATAGGAGTTGACTCAATGACTCCAACTCACTTTAAGGAGTCAGCTCATTCAACTAACTCATTTGACTCTTTGTATGTTACACTCATTCGTATCGTAGACTCGTTTTGAGGCATAGATGCGGTATAGCGGCCGTTGAGATAAAACAAAACTTTAAAGTGGGCGGGGTCAGCTCCTTTCTACTGATTTGAAAGGTGTAATTTTTTTTGTGTGCAAATTAATAGGGCGGTGCTAGGGGGAGGGTAAAGGTGGAATTTTCAATATTTTCAAAAGCTTATATTTCGAAACCTATTGTACCGAATTTCAAAATGTGGATATGGTTGGAAAGGCAATTGATTTGATATGCACATCTTTATATATCTTACATACATACATATTTCGAGAAAAACTAAAAAAAAACGAAATTATAAGAATTTGTGAGATTTGACATAACACCCGCAATACAAAATACATGTATATATATATACATAGTTTTTGTTGCTTATTACTGCTCTCTGACAGCCATGTGCAAAGAGTGACCGGGTCTTGAAAAACTGGAACGTTTCTAATATTAGGATATCAAAATAAAATTAAATAGTTTAATTGTTAAAAACTTAAAAAGCGACCGGCTTATTCGATATAAACAAAGAACACAAACGGCAATAACGCAAAATTTGCTTT